GAGAAACAATATGAGAAATAGATAAAGATCGTAAGATCAGATAGATGTGGAGAATATTACACTAGATGTACAGGGGATGGACAAGCACCTGGTCTGTTGGTTAAATTTTTTTCAAAATCATGGGATAGTTGCCCAATATACATGCCTAGTTTACCAGGCAGAATGGTGTAGCGGAAAGAAGAAATATAATATTATTGGACATGGTACGGAGCATGCGTAGTAGCTCCAATCTTTCTAAATCATTGTGGACTGAAGCACTTAAAACGATTGTGTATATATTGAATCGAGTTCCAACTAAGGTTATCCCAAAGACGCCATTTGAACTATTGAAATATTGGAAACCAAGTTTGTGGCATATGAGTGTTTGGGGATGTCTATCTGAAGTGAGAATCTATAATTCACAAGAGAAGAAGTTGGACCCAAGGACCATTAGTAGGTATTTCATTGCATATGCCAAAAGATCTAAGGGATACAGATTTTATTGTCCATCTCACAGCACTATGATTGTGGAATCAAGAAATGCTAAGTTTCTTGAAAATGACTTGATTCGTAGGAGTGGAATCATTTAAAATCTTAATCTTCCACCTCGAGTGACAGATTAGTGATAGTTAATAGCACTCCTTAAGTACAAACATGTGTTGAACGACCAATCATTGAAATTCCACAAGCTGCTGACAATGTTCAAGTAGATCGGGGTAATTCAGGAATTTCCAAAACCTCCTGAAGAAACAGCTGAACCACAAGCTTCTCAAGAAAATAATGTTACAATGTTAAGAAGATCTACTAGAACCAAAAGGTCAGCAATTCCTAGTGATTATGAAGTGTATTTACAAGAACCTGACCACAATATTGGAGTCGAAAAGATCCTGAATCATTTTTACAAGCTATGAGTTGTAAAGAGTCAGAATTATGATACAATGCCATGAAGGAAGAGATGAGTTCCATAACGAGGGAATCGATTATACGGAGACCTTCTCTTTGGTATCTAAGAAAAATTTTCTACATATTATTTTGGCATTAGTAGCCCATTTTGACCCTGAGTTACGATAAATGGATGTGAAAACAGCATTTCTCAATGGAGATTTAGAGGAAGATGTTTATATAAAATAACTTAAAGGATTCCCCTCTAATGATGGTGAGCACTTGGTATGTAAGTTTAAAAAATCTATATACAGTTTAAAACAAGCATCCCGTCAATGGTATTTAAAATTCCATGAAGTAATTTCTTCATTTGGATTTGTTGAAAATCCCATGGATCAATGTATATACTAGAAGGTAAGTGGGAGTAATATTTGTTTTCTTATTTTATACGTAGATAAGATTTTACTTGCAACCAATGATAAGAGTTTGTTGCATGAGGTGAAACAATTCCTCTCTAAACATTTCGATATGAAGGATATGGGTGAGGCATCTTATATCATTGGCATTAAGATTATAGAGACGGATTATGAGAAATTTTGGGTTTATCTTAGGAAACCTATATCAACAAAGTTTTAGAGAGATTTCGGATGAAAGATTGCTCATCAAGTGTAGCTCTCAATGTAAAGGGTGATAGGTTCAATTTGAACCAATGCCCGAAAAATGATTTGGAAAGGGAATAAATGAAAAACATTCCATATGCTTCTGTTGTTGGAAGTCTAATGTATGTTCTAGTCTGTACAAGGCCTGACATTACATTTGTTATGGAATGTTAGAACTATATCAAAGTAATCCAGGTATGAACCACTGGAGAGCAGTAAAGAAAGTAATGAGGTACCTTCAAGGCACCAAAAGTTACATGCTTATGTATAAATGGACGGATAACCTGGAAGTGATTGGATACTCAAATTCAAACTTTGTCTGCTATATTGGTTCACGAAAATCAATATCATGGTATATTTTTGTGATGGCTGGTGAAGCTGTATCATGGAGGAGTGCCAAGCAAACATTGACTGCTACTTCCACAATGGAAGCCGAGTTCGTTTCCTGTTTTGAAGCTACTTTACATGGTGTATAGATCAAGAGTTTCATATCTGAGCTTAAAGTCATGGATTCCATTTCTAGGCCATTAAGAATTTATTGCAACAATTCGACTATTGTCTTTATGGCTAAAAACAATAAAAGTGGTAGTCGAAGTAAGCATATTGATATTAAATACTTAGACATAAGATAACTATTAAAGAAAAGAAACTGGTAATTGAGCACGTAAGCATCAAATTGATGATTGCTGATCCTTTGACTAAGGGCATGCCACCTTGAAATTCAAGGATCATGTAGAGAAAATGAGACTTGGTTCTACTATGTAATTGTATATATACAATTTTGTATGAAACTCTTTTTTGTTGTGATATTTTCTCATATTCATGCGCACCTTAAGTTATTTGAGAAAATAAATTTATGTAGGACCATGAGTAAGACATAAGGTCTTTTCATTAAGTATTGTTACCACGTAAAGAATAATCTTGAGAAACTAAACATATTGTAACATGGAAGATACCACTCATTAGCCTCTACCATCGCCATGATTCATGTGTTTGTTTCTTAAAAAGGACAATTAGGCTGAATGTATGGACCAAGTGGGAGAATGTAACATATCCGTCTCTTCACATTCTCGTTGAAGTCTCTTCCCAATTCTTCAATGATCACATTGATGGTCCAACATTCATGGGGTTTTCAGTTTCAATAGTCCAAAGGTTTCAACATTTGTGGAATTCAATTTCACCATCAATTGGTTGGTAACTTAAGCCATAACTTGATGGGAGTTTTGGCTATTTAAATGGATGGGTTTTGGTCACTGAGCTACACCGACGATAAGCCATAACTTGATGGGAGTTTTGACTATATAAATGGATGGGTTTGGTCCCTGAGCTTCACCATCGAAAATACTGATACACCATCAATTAAGAGTGTTGAAAGCTTGGAAGTTCCATTACCTATAGAAAGGAGAGTTTTTGCAACATCATCAATGGCCGGAGGTATGTTACAATCCCTACGGTATTTCGGTTATTCGATCCAATTCAGTTAAGCATAATTGCTCTGGATCCTTTTTTTGTCTAACATATAAATCATCATGAATAATTTATGCATCTATAATATGTATAAGCTTATATACCTCTCTTGCATTGTGATCAGATTTCAACACAGAGGTTGTTTGAGGTCAAAATCAACAGAGATTATCCACGTAGTGAGAATATACATGAAATTCGACAATATTTTGAGCGATGTGATTTGACTGGCTCACATGAGAGTTGGAAAGAACCTCAATAAGCATAATAAAGATGGTCTCACCGTTGGCTGTGATTTTCACTATGGGCTCACTTCATATCGATATTCTATGATATTTTGTGTATATGTAAGATATAAAACACGGTCTGTATTTAGCTGAATCTTCAATTAGTTGACCGAAGAGGTTGAGGAAGATTCAGTCTTGAATGGATCAAATCATATTTGTTTATAATCTTTATTGAGTTATAATTATGTTACTGTTTAGAGGTCTTATGCGCTTAAAGTTTTTATAAAATTTTCGAACTCTTCTTTTCATCGGTCATAAGTGCCTTTCCATTGTCTTCGCATTCCATTTTTAACCAAGGTAGCCCAGGCTTTTGCGCTCGGATGGAAGATGAGCACATGTAATACCAAAGAGAATTTCAATTACTTCTCTTTGCCTCGTTGTTTGCTTCCTGTGCACAATTCATGTCTGAGTAGAATGAGACGGTAGAGAACTAATGTCGGATTTCTTACATTGCTTTGCTTTTTCCGAATATGCATTTTCTCTTATGTACATGACATGTTTTAACAATACATTCTCTTTAAAAAATTGGGGCTCAAACATGGACTAAGTATTAATCTTGATGTATTGATACTTTGAGTAACGGCTTTTCAAGAATATGAAGTGGTTCAATGTGATATTTAAGTCAGCAAAGACACTAATATCAAGTTTCGTTTTAAAAAATTGTCAGTGTTCTGCTTCTGATCAAAAAGGAATTCAATTTGCATGTAAGGGAATTGAATTAAAGAAAAAATTTAAATGAAGAGTTAGATTTTTTTTTTACACGTTAATCTTTTAAATGAAGCGGATGCCATGTTATAAGATGCATATTTTCCTACTTTGTACATTGTATTCTAAATAGAGAGTGAAAATGTCTGATTCAATTTTATACGATTTACGTATTTTGAGAGATTTCTTGTGTCATTTGTATTGTCATTTAGATTATTAGATTGTCAACAAGTCTTTTTATATCTATTGATAAAAAATATATTATTTTATAGTTATAATGTTTTTATAAATATTATTTAAAGAAAAACCGAGATCAAACGTGAACGTGGTGAAAAGAAATAGCCATACAATATAATTATAAAAATAAAGATATATTCAATTTTATATATAAGTCGAAGATGTTTTAACATGCCAATATAGCACGTTGACTGTCAAAGTAGAAATCGATTTGTACTTCAAATTTATTATTATTATTATTATTATTATTTTTTTTTTTAAGAAAATGCAACCGAGTCTTAGCCCCTGTTTAAGTCACATTAAAATTTTCATTATTATTCTTCTACTCATTTTCAACTACATATTCTTTGATAAAATAATATTTTCCATCACATAATAACTTTTTATTCATTTTTAATCACACGATCTCCATTAATCTACTATTTCAAAATACATTCTTTCAAAATTATATTGTTCAAACACACTCTTATTTCCAAGTCCAAGTTTTATGGTCTACAACAAACCGGTTTAGTGAGCCGAAGAAAGTAATCTGAAAATCATCCCCGTAACCCCTAAACCCTTCCCAAACTTTGTTGTCCGTCGATCGGCGCCGCCCGGGCCGCGCCCCCATTTTTCACAAGCAATTCCTCAATATACGCAGTCGCAGTGCGGAGAATGCAGCCGTCTCCTTCATTTGAAGATCTGTAGATCCTCGAAGAACTATTCTCATTACAAATCAGATTTTTGCTTCTAAGAACGGATGAGTTCATCCATAGTATAACCTTCATCAGCAGTTTAGTAAGGAACGATGTTCAGTTTACTTTTTAGAACAGTATTCCCAATCCATAGGGAGCTGGGTGATTCATGCTTGTACAAATCCTCAATGGGTATTTTTCTTCGCAATTTATCTGCTTCTTCTATGATTGAACCGGAAAAAGCTGAACGGTTTCGCGCCGTTTTCGAAAATTATGAATTTAGTGATACCCAAATTTCCAGGCTTGCCGAGGTAATCCCAAATATCTTCTCGTGCGATCCCCAGAACATTATTTTGCCTAAACTCAAATTCTTTTCATCTATAGGGGTCTTGAGTTCTGACCTGCCAAAAGTTATTATGGGTAATCCTGCATTGTTGGCAGGAAGCATTGAAAAACAGTTTATCCCATGTTATAATTTTCTCAAGACATTAGTGGATTCTGATGAAGATATTGTTCGGATTTTAAAGCGCAGTCCTAGAATTTTATCTTGCAATTTGAAAGTAATGGAGCCCAATGTAGAGCTATTGGGTGAAGCAGGAATACCAGAGAGCTCTATCTCATACATGTTAATTCACTACCCTCATTCAGTGCAAATGAAATGTGAGAAGTTTAAGAGGAGTGTGGACAAAGCAATTCAGATGGGATTTCACCCCTCGAGGATGTTGTTTATTCGGGCAGTTCATGTGTTGTGTGAGATTAGTGAGCAGGGGTGGGAGAATAGAATCAAGGTTTATAGGAGTTTTGGCTTGTCAGATTCTGAGATTGTATCAGCCTTCAGATCGCACCCTCTGTGTATGAAGTTGTCCGAGGAAAAAATCACGAGGGGAATGGAGTTTTATGTAAACGAGATGAGCTGGTCTCCTGCCAAAGTTGCTCGATGCCCAGTTGCCCTCTTTTACAATTTGGAGAGGAGGATCATCCCACGGTGTCGTGTGATCAAGATTTTGATGGAGAAGGGTTTTGTCAAGGAACATTCTACTTTAATTTCCTTTTTGTCAATCTCTGATCCACAATTCTTGACTAAGTTTGTGCTCAACTATAAGAATGATTTGCCTGAAATTATGGATGTCATCACGCTTGACAGGTCTGGTAGAATCATAATTGGTACTTGCTTGAAATAAAGGTAATGCAATTCACGATCCTTCCAGTTCTATTGTATAACCAATTTTTCAATGCTTTTTGTAATAACTATTTTTGTGAAGTGAAAAGTTGCTATGATTAGCTACTGACAGAGCAAATATTGATAGTTTGGTTTAGCTTTTTGCTTCTTCTCAGAAAACGAATGGAGCATGTGCTAAATTCATAAAGCTTTAGCTTGGTTGACCCTTCGTTATGGTACGACTTCACATGGAATCTCCCTTTCATTTGGTAAAAATCTCTTTTGTAATTTGCACAATGACAGTATCTTGTTTCATGTTGATATTTAGTGTGGCTTTTTGTCCATATTTAATGCTCTTCAAACCACCTGGAATTGGTTCTTTCCGATGGCAAGTATTTAACTTTTTTTGACAGTGAAATGTGTTTAGGACTGGCATAGCAGCTTCTCACTGAGTACATGTAGCCAATGTTATGTTTCCTTCAGGGATCACTTTTGAACAGAAATTCTTTCACTATTACTTTGGACTTTGAATATTCTTGATGCTAAATTTATACAATCAATGTTCTTCATTGGTCGTTATGGTGTCTTGTATTCTTGATGACTTGTCTCTATCACGTGCAAATTGGACATGGTCGTGCGTGCCCTGTTATACTCTGACAAGTATGGAAGGATAAACAAGGGTTTTGAAATTAATGGAACACTAGTTGGATTGTGTGTCATTGCGTGTAGAGGGGATTTATGTACTCTTGTAAGTGTATGTTGTTCTGTAGCATTCGATTCGATATCCCATGACTTTTGCCGGAAGGCATATTTAAATTGGAGTGGAGTGGCTGTCATGGAGGTAATATTGCTCCAGTAAGCCACTACCCCCAACTGCCAAGTATAAGACATGTCATTTAGCTGTGGCAGTTAATAGATAATAGGAGGAGATTGTGTGCTTTAGTGCACTGCCAAGAGATTCTCATTCTCAGAAATCATTCTCTCTACCTCTGGTCAATTCGATTATCTCATAGGCTGAGCTCATAGGTTCATCTCCTCACTCAATTGGAGGTAAGGCTGATAGCATCATGGTCAAATGGGTTGACCTGATGCCTGAGGTTGGCTTGTACTGTCATGTGACCATCTGTAGGCATGAACATCAACTATTGGGCTGTCATGCAGGTCTTGCTAACGTCTATGGCTGTAACGAAGTCAGTTTTGAAGAGTGTATGGCTATATCCGGATTAATTTTGATTTGAATTGACTATGAGAAAACCTTCACTTTCATCATTTTCGATACTGGCTTTATTGTTTTAGTATTTTGCTGCTAGTGTAATATCTTGGTGGATGAGTCCTTGAATGTGAATTTTGACATTTATATGGGGTAATGCAATTTCATTAATTGCTTTTGCTGATCCTTCTGATCTCTTAATTAACCTTTCCAAAAACAAGAAGCTCCTTGAGTTGGTGAAAACACAACCTAACATGCTCGCAATTGTGAAAGAAATGGTTCAGTTGTCTGGCTAGCAAAGAACTTGAAAGAAAACCGGGTGCCTGCAGAGATTGAAGGGAGAAAGTCTCATTCTCCGAGTATTGTGTCAAAAAGTGATTGAACAAAGGCAATTAATAGTCTTGCCAAGAGATGGAGCTCTTTGAAGGGGTCTTATCCCACCAGCAACCCCATTCGGTGGATAATTATACATATGTAGTCACAAATTCGTTTTCTTCTGAATGTGGGTATTCATCGTTTACGTTATAATTTGTCCTCAACTCTATTGAATTCATAACTTCGTCAAAATCATCTGTGTTGGATATTATCATATTTACCTTTGTTCAGGGTGCTGCACTTCACATTCTCCTCTTTGCAGTTACTTTTACATTATCCAACATTACATCTTGTCTATAACATGGTATCACTGTAAGTTAATTTTCGATACCATCTTGAGTTTGGTTCTAGAATTAGTTTAATATTTGCATTCAAATAATTTGGATTTTGTTGGTATTGATTCTTCCCTGGCGCTGGTTTGGATCGATCTTGAGGAAGATAAGGTTCGGACCTCCTAGCTTGGGATTTTCCCACCATCTTTTCCCTTTACACAGTCGGAAAATGATCAAGTTTTGAATCTTGTGGTAGACTCTTGTAGAGCTTGTTCACAATTTCGATGGCATCTGGTTTAAAACAAAAAAAAAGAAGCCACACAGAATCCACTCCTAATTGGGGGAGTTTTCTTACTGGTGGGGGTGGAGCCGTAGAGTGGGGCGGCAGCGGCCGGGAGCCAAGATTTGGGGCTAGTGTCCGGAGGTTGAGGAAGTAAATGTCGTTTTCTTTTTCAGCTTTTATATATTTGTTAATTTAGTTTATTTAATATCCAAAGAATGTTTGGACGTAATTAGCTCCTCTCGTCACATGTCACTACTATAATTTTCTACGTCTAAATAAACTCGATTGGCTGTCAAAATAAAAGGTTAAGGATAAATGTGCGAACAGTGGTAATTAATTAAGGACCCAAGTGTTCCAAGTGGTAGTCTTTGAAAACAATGGCTATAAATTTCACTTTTCAATAAAGAATTATAATGCAGAATGATTTGATGATACTGAATTTGATTAATATAAATTTTTTTAAAGTAAATATTTGTTGATTGAAATGATTGATATCCGAGTATGTTAATTGAGTGTCTAATTCTCTGGTTCATACAATTTTAACAAATGTTTCATTTTTTTGGGCGTCGGTTGCCAATAGAATTTGTAACAATTAATTTGTATGCGATGACTTATCTTGATACGTAAAAGCTCTTCAAGAGCTAAATTTAATAGATTGAAGACGTAAGTATGATATCACATGCATTAATCTACTTTCTTAAGAGTTTGTTTATTTTTTCTCTTTATGCTTCAATTTATTTATTCCTTAAATTTTTTGGTCATGGGAATTTTTTTTTTTTGATTTTAGCTTGTGCACACGTCAAAGAATGCATGTGCATATGTCGTGCCGTGCCGTGTCGTGTCGTGTAGTGCTCGTGTGTGGAAAGGTCCATCCCAGCCCTTTTATGCTTTTGCTGTTAGTTCACTTAATTATGCCAATTGCATACAAAAGACTTTAACTTCTACTTTAATCCTTTCTGCTGTGGATGGGTTGCTGTTGTTCATTATCTTTTCTTCATATCTTGTCAAATTCGTATTATGTACTAAATATTTTTTCTTGTCCAAGAACTATAAAGGAAACTACCGTAGGACAAAGAACTCTAATACCAAAATGAAAAATTCTATACTAATCACATAATCAAACTATATTATTATGATAATAATCTCAAACAGTCGAGAAATGCCAAGAAAAATGTTACAAATCTTTTCATATCTTTTAACAGATGTCGTCATGCATGAGAGTATTACTATCACATATCCCTAAAGGGCTTTTTCATATCAGAATCCCCATGTAAGAGCTGTATTTGGTGCAAAGGATGCATTACTATTCTCTATTGGTTTAAACCCTCCATTTCTAAGCTCTGTTCATGCAGGTTTTGGGGGCCGTTGGATCCCCCAACCCCTAAGAAATCCAGAGTCATCATATCAGTATGTCCCAACCTGGAGTTCCGTGTAGGGCTCCTACTCATAGCATTCTTCGTTGCACAATGCCAGAATGTTCAATATCATCTTGTTCCGTAACTTTCTTCAAGAAACCAGCAGAATACGGATCACTGTCCACCAGCATTCCGCCGTTCAACACCATGTCACTCAAGACTGAGCCACCAGTCCCAGAATGGAACAATTGAGACAACTCTTGTGGGCTGTTCTGTAAAAGCTGGGTACTAAAAGTCCCTTTTGATTGCTCGTTATGCACATTGTCAAATGAATTGTTTTGGTGTAAATTCGACGAAGTTCTTGATCCAGAGAGTTGATCAGATCCTGCCATGCTGCTGACAAAACTTTTTTGCATCATTGGAGAGGTCATAGTACTATTGCTTGAAGTTGCACCAATTTGGACTACCTTCTGCAGTAATATAGTGGCAGACATATTGGCTGATGATCCCGAAATTTTGCCACCATTATTGAGCTGAAAGGCTGATGATGACGAGGGAATGCCTCTTGTATTCCCAAAGAGATTGCCTGAATTGCTGGAAAACATGCCTCCTGCTGCCGCATTGTTCATAGATTTGAATGGCATTATTGGGACAATTTCTGGAGGTATTGATTTGAGGGGATTGGTGAATTCTGATAATTCCATGGATGTGTTTGTGTTGCTTTTTGTTCATCTAAAATATGTTTCGAATAAAAACTANTGTTTCGAATAAAAACTACCACAAGTGTACGGACCACTCAAGCAATAAAATGGATTTTTGAGTCCAAGTATCATTCCCCACAGAGATTTACTTGTTTTTTTTTACCTATTCTGACCTTAACTGAATCGTGAAATATGGTTGAGTTTTGTAACTAAATTGTAGTTAAACTAAATGAAAGCAATAGTAGATGAATTAATTAAACTAAATGCAAATTATACGATGGAATGCATATTGAAGTAACTCATAGAAAAGAAATGCACTTGGTTCGCGAATTCCCATGCAATGATCCATTTTAACTCCAGTTCTACAAAATTGACAACATATTTGAATTGATGAAGAATCAATGTTTCTAACCTATTCAATAATCTCTCTCGAGTAGAATTGAACTTATTCTCGCATACCATTTGACTATATTTCTATGACAAATGCAATATACAAGAATGCATGACGTTCTGTAAACACTTAGAGATTCATGTAGAGTATAGCGGTATATTTCTATCCCCTATCAGAACCTACGATGGTTTATACCCTGTAGATCTTATTTCCCTTATTTCGAATGCATAAAATAAGCCATCACACTCATACAACTATTGTGCATATAATTGTAGAGAAAAAGTAATGTACATAAATCACTCAATAATTCAAAACGCTTTTAATGTTAACAAAGTAAAACTAGAAATTAAAATATCATATCTCAAGGTTCATTATTCACCTAGCACATATAAATCTAGCCTAACATGATAGAAGAAAAGAAATCAGAAAAAGAAACAAAGAACGACATCACCAATTTGATTCTTGAATTGGATTTTTGTGTTCTTGGAGTTGATCTTCGCGTTCTTGCCTCTTTTATTATCTTCAAAATATTTTTTTCTTCCCCTTCAGGTATTTTACTTTATATATTTGTAGGAATCGAAAATTGATTGAAAATCACGTCCAATTTG